AAACAAGGTTTTCAAATCCACTCATGTGGGCTCCTCAATGATTCCTGCGGCATCCAAAGGGGGTCCCCATAATAAGGACTATAGTATTTTGGGGTCTATATTGGGGTCCCCTCATTTGGGAAACTACCATATTCCTTCTGGGCATTCAACCCTAAGACCCTGAGGCTTCTCCTGTGGCACGGAATCCTGGCTGAGCCTGGCAGCTTTGGATTATTTTGCTTCATTGTGGGAGGGGCTGATGGCGTGGGATAGTTCACTGTGTGGGGCTTGGGGTACACTGAGTGCGACTTGGCTTGAATGCCGAAATTGCTCAAAGCAGTAGCACAAAGGTGTCTAGTGGCTTGGCTGAAGATTCCCTGAAGATCATTGCCCGACGAAGCCTAAGCGGTATAGTATATACCCCAATGTACCACTCTTCACCCCTACATAGCGCTACATAACCCCGCATATTCCCAGTTGTACCTTTAATTTGCGCCGCTTTCCTTCATGAAGAGGCTTCGAGAGCTGTGTCTAGCTCGCGTCCTAGAGGAGTCCCCCTGCCACCGACCAAACTGTTAGCAGACTCACCCTCATGCAGAATGCAGAACCCTCCTGGGTTTTCTTTCTTCGTAGGTTTCTAAGAGCAGCTCCAGAATAGCATGCCAAAACCATTGCGCCAACTCAACTCCTGAATCTCGGATCCTCAGCCTAAAGAACACATGAAACCGCCGAATCGTCAGCGTGGATGCCTCAAGGAATGCTGTTCTTCAACTACATTTCGCCCATGGCCATATTCTGGACCAGCGAGCTGCCCGTTCTGGGCCTGCAGGAATGCTTATTCGTGGGCGTGGAAGCTTGACATCGCATTGCTAAGTCCTGTAAGAGTGCAGTAGGAAGTTGGAAGGATCTTCTGTAGCCTAGAAACGCATTATTTGTAACGATTTGGGATGCAGGCCTCCATGGTGGCTTCGTTATACAAATCACTGCAGGCCTGACCAGGCCTGAATGCTACCAAAACCAAATAGACTAAATCTGCCAAATGTGAAGTAAGTTTCTGCCCAGCTAGCCTACGGGAGCATTTATTATTCACAGCGCGAGAAGCACGACGATAGATGTCATCGGCTGGTTGTAACGTACAAGCCTGCGTACTTTGTGTCCCGTTATACCTTCTTTGAATAGCTGTAGCACAACATGCCCCTAAACCCTATTCGCTGCCATTAAAGAGAATCTTTGCAAAATTATTGAAATGCTGACGTGAATGTCACTCCGGAAAACTGTGCATCTATTTTCTGCCTGATAGAAACAAATTGTCTTGGAGTGTATACACCACTTTTGTCTCACCTTTGACGAAGATGACTTCAGTCCACTTTGCCCCTAAGCCCTGTTAGCATTCTCGAGGCCCCTACATGACCGTTAACCCAGCCAGTACATCTCAAGTTGAAGTCTAGGAACATCAGAAAACAATGAGCATCTTAATTCTGACTTTGCTGGGGCGTGTCTTCTGCTCATAGATATACATCCCTGAAAGCACGCACCATGACAGACTTGTCAAGAAGATGCCTAAACCCTTAAACCCTTAAGCCCTAAACCCTGAAACCCCTTCACGCCGCTCATGATCGTCTAGCAAGAAGGGGATCCCGAAGCTTTCCCCTCTTCTGACCCAAACCCATAAATGTGTATTTAAGCCTGGCCTAAACAGTAGTTTCCATTTTCTTGTCCATTATCCCTATATAACCCCAATATACTATGGTAGCTTCCATGTTCTTCTCCATCATCCCAGTACAGCCCCAACATACCATAGTAGTTTACATTTTCTTTTCCATTGCCCCCATAAAGCCCTATAACTGTTGAGAGTGCATGAGGCCATACTCTCAATGTCGGCCTCGGCCGTCTACTTGTTCCTCTTGCTGGGCTGGTGACCTAGGGTCCCTAAACACTAGGCTATGTGAGCTATAGTCTAAACTCCTGAAAGGGGATTGTCTAGGGGATTATCACAGGGCTTATTACGGGGGATATTCGAAGTTTAGACTATGGCTCAGGTCGTGAACCCAGGCGCTTGAACCGTAAGGCAATCCACTTTATCAAGGGTCAGGCTTCAGTTTCCTTCATACTTAGCCTTTCATTTTGAGAGGTGAAAGAAAAGAGCGCGGAGGACGTAGCAGGTGATTGCCGTCATTCGCCGGTGTGAGTGCTGGGTTCTATCAGAAGCGAAGTCCTAGTAGACAGCCCACCCATCTTTGCACCCTCACTTGTGCTCAAGGGGAGTAGTGCAGTAAATGCGGGCACTTTCATGGGCCCTTTGCTTTGATTCTGCCGGGTTGGTTACATATGGGGAGCGAGTCCCACCCTCCCTCAAGCAACAGCTTGTGTGTGACTGCGTGCTGCCTCCCAGCCGCCATTTTGGACATGTACTTCTTATTCACTGTCCCGTATCAGTAAATTGTCAGTAGAGCAAGTAGCCTACCCCTCAGCCCACAAACCAGACGATCCGCACCGAAATCGGAGGACGATCCTTTTAAGAGGGTCTATACTGTGCGGGCCTTGTCAGAAGTGTTTGGAATGGAAAAAAGTCAAGAATGTGAAATGGAGGGTTTAGGGTTAGGTGTCTGGAAGACCTGCTAGACTGTAGTTGTTTCATTTGAAGCCCTTCATATTTACATTTGCTTCGCAATACAAAGCCTAAGCTCTCTACCCCAAGCCCTAAATTCCAAATCCCTGGAGGTACGCATGCCAACGCTGCCTCTCGAAGATGATGCTCGGGCTTGCAGGTCTTGTCACTGTCCTACTCTTACTTGAGGGGTTTCTGTAGGATGAAATGAGAAAGAACACGGAACATGAAATGGAAACTGAGGTAATGGAGGGATTTACAGCGGTTATCCAATTTTGAAAACGTTAATCGTGGACGCAAAAGAAGCCGAAAACAATTACAGTACCAATACTATGGTCGGAGGTTCTTTGTATAGCCATGGTGAAGGGTACTTCAAAAAGATATTGGTAATTGGGTCACCTTCAGTCATGGGGAGTAGGGTGTGTAGTTTTTTTGGAGGGGAAGGGATTACAGCGCCTCACCAAAATTCCAAAGTCCTGGATCCAAGATTCTTTGTGCAAGTCAAGTCCAGAAAACACACACAGTCCCTGCGCCTCATACACAGCCGTTCCCAAGGTGCCCGATACTGCAGTTTGCCTGCAAGCATAGGTTCTTGACAGTTTCAGGATCAATCTTCGACTTCGGGATATTGGCCCGTGCTGCTGCGCCGTTCACTATTTGGTTGGGCAAGGGCTGCCCAACACAAAAGTCCATGATCATCTAACAATCTAACCCTCTAGAAACAGTGCCTGGCCGCTGCGCTGAGATTGCGCATGAATGCCTCTAAGCTGGTTTATCTCTGCGGGCAGAAACAGACGACGGTCGATACGAAAGCTGGAGACGTCATCGCGAGTAAGTGGTTAAGAGTTGCTGCCGGAGCCGCTGCAAGCAGCAACTTCCACCCTGCGACGCACCTAAACTGCCATGACGTAGTCTCATTGCTGGTCATGCAAGGTACGAACCTCCTTGTAGCACCTGTTCCAAGACATGCAGAAGCTTCTCCCAATAGGAACCCCTTCGAAAAGTCCCAGAAGTCTGTGGTGAACAGCCTCCTAAAGTTCTGTGTGCAAGCCTTGTACGCTCCCTGAACCCTAAACCATACTAAACTTTAAGCCTTACGCCCTCTCCTCCACCTTTGAAGTTCCCACATCACATGATGGGTAGCAAAGATTCTGGTTCCGGCCCCTTTTGGGGCCCCCAGACTTTGATATGCTGCCTAGCCGTATTTGGGCAACCACAAGGGGCTCATACCTTCGATGGCCTTCCACATGAAGTTTTCGGGATCTCATACGTGGGGGGCAGGAGGATTTGATAAGTAGGTTAGCATTGGGGATAATTGGTGCTACTATAAGGCTTATGGGGTTATTCACCTACATACTTAGTCCCCCTGACCCGCCAACCCTGAACCCTCAAACCCTAAATGATGTAGTAGTTTCCATTTTCTTTTCCATTATTACTCAGATTATAGTGGTTATTACTACTTACTAAGTCCCCCTGACCCTCCAAGTAGCCGTAGCTTAGGAGGCCACGGGCCTACGATCCTCCGGCAGTCCATCCGGTCAGCAGCTTAAATAATAAGAGGATTTTGGTAGCCAATCATAGTATATAGAGTATAGTTCTCGGGTAGATATGATAGGGGTTATATAGAAGTCATATAGGTTTAATGGAAAAGAAAATAGAAAGTATTACTTGGAGTTTAAGGGTTAAAGGTTTATAATAAG